TGGGCTCCTGCCCTAACGTTACAGATTTTGTAAGCAGTGTCCTAATACAGGTTTCTAGACCAGTATAGAAGCCTGCACCTTCCCGGAGCCCCCTGCTTAACGCTCTACTCTTGGCAAACACCCTGCCTGCACAAAGGAAGAGAAACTGGTAGAAGGCAATAAGCATGGGGAACAGAGATCCTGGTGTTTTGTCTACCATTTCCAAAAGAGCTGCTGAGAAGCAGTTGGTATAACAAAAGATGATCATTGTTACACTGTGGCAACAGGATTAGGGAACTACAAGACACAAAGAATGATTAAGAGGCCCTAGCCGGTTTGGCTCAGTGGATAGAGCGTCGGCCTGCACACTGAAGGGTTCCGGGTTCGATTCCAGTCAAGGGCACATGCCCGGTTGCGGGGAGGTCATCTCAACACCTTGGACTTCAATACCCTCCTGTGTGAGATCATCAAGGCTCTTTCATGTTCTGGGTTCTCAGGCTCTCGGATTAATGGTTGTGCTGGGATGATTAGCCACTTCCCAGGCACCAGAACACCAGCTGGCAGCACGGGCCACAGTCACTGTGAAAAATAATACAAAGCTTACCAGGGACTTTGGTGTGTATTTATATCCACAGTTTGAAAATACAGTGTGTGTGTGTGTGTGTGTGTGTGTGTGTGTGTGTGTGTGTGTGTTTGGTGGGTTGGGGGAAGGCTTGCAATTTCTACTTCCCCTAAAGAACCTATTGGAGGTCTCCTGTCCACACCTGCCATGTCCTTCTCCATTACCTGCCTTCTCTTACTCCATGAACATGACCACATCGTGCCTCTCCAACAGGCTCCACGATGTTGAAGGCTGTCACAAAGGTCCCAACACGTAACTGCAACTTGCTTTAGTTATGGTGTCAAAATAGCAAACAAGAAGTCATGGAATACAAAATAGTTGAAAAATCCCCACGCATTTCTCTCATTGCACTCATTTTTACCTTCCTGTCCTCCATTTACAGAGGTCTGCAAAGAGAACAGTCTAAAAAAGATGAACACAGAAAGCACATTGGGTTTACCATACCTGTGGCCTGGTTAGTTTTAGCTTTCATGGTCTATTTCCTTTTTGGTTTTGGTCTCATTTTCTTGACTGCTTTGCTTCACTGTTTTGGCATTAACTTAGATACTTTATAGTAAGTAAAATCCCCCAAACACAAGGTGTTTATCATCTAAACGATGTTGCCTACCTCCTATCGTAGTTTATGGCACACTCTCCCACAAGTTCTTCCCAACCATGCAGCCAGACCAGAACCACAAGGGAGGTGGTTCTCTTCCCCGTGAATTGTGCCCACCTTGCACCCTGAGGTACATTAATGCCTAGTGAGTAATTTCTCCTAGATTTTCTGTTTTAATTAGGCATTTCCACATGTAGCTTCAGAAAACAAGAGACCAGGCTTTGGAGTCAGGCAGACCTTTGCTCACATGCTGCTACCTTGTTGCTAGTGGTGTGCTGGAGCAGGCTTAGGAGAGATGGCTGGAATGTCAGGAATTGTGCAAGCCCGTTGTTAAAAAAAAAGAGGTTATTAAAAATTTAATTTTACAAGCCTAGGGCCAATTATATTAAAAACAAAGACAATTATTACTTAAAACTAACCAGTTCCTAATTATTTACTGTACCTAGTTCTTCTTAGTTATGTTGGTTATGTTCTATAAATTGCTATGAATACTGAATTGGAATACCATACTAAAATCACTGTTCCTGGGGGAAATATAGAGCTAGGAGTTGGCAAGCCTCTATTCATATTTTCATCAACTGATCAATATATAAACTTATTTGTGTGTTGATGCTGTAATGCTGAACTCATGGCCAACGGCACTATACCTCATGCCTGAATGAAGTTTATCTAACACATGTATTTTCTCTATAGGTACATCACAGCCCTCTTGATCTTAGGAGTACTTTGAGCAGTGAAATAACCAACAAAAACACAAAAATGCAGAAAATGCGGCAATAAACAGACTTCAAAAAAGGGACATTTGTTCACAGTGAGAGCTGCAACAAGAAGGCAGAGCACTGCTGGTTAACCTCGGCTGGTGAAATGGGCATGGGGCAGCTCACATTTTTCATTGCTCCGCACACATCCATGAATGACTGTGAAAAAATGGTAACGATTGATCTTGGGGTTACAAATACATTTTAGCAAGTAGACAGATTCATAAACAATGGGATCTGCAAACAATGAGGATCAACTATATATCTGACCTTGCTCTTGAGGTTATTTACCTATTGCATCTGGTAGAAATGTAACTGTGTGCTACAGGACTTCTCTTCCCAACTCTTGAGTGTAGTGATGTCACTGTATTATGTCTAGCCCAGCCAACATGGCTCAGTGATTAAGCGTCGACCTATGAACCAGGAGGTAATGGTTTGATTCCTGGTCAGGGCATATGCCCGGGTTGCGTGCTTGATCCCCAATAGGGGGCATGCAGGAGGCAGCCAATCAATGATTCTTTCTCATCATTGATGTTTCTATCTCTCTCCCTCTCTCCTTTCCTCTCTGAAATCAATAAAAATATATTTAAAAAACAAACAAAAACGGCATCACGTCTAGACCCATACCATTGCGATTAGCACAGCAAGCTGAGGAAATAGTCTTCCAGTATTAAAAAACCAAATATTCTTCCAGTATTCAGCAGCCATTACCTGACTCAGCAAAGAAGACATGCTATGAAGAATGAACTTGTGACGTTCTGACATGTGTCTTTGTTCTTTCAATTTCATTTTAATCATTCATTTAAAAAATCCGTTAATGTTCATGTCAGAGCTATATCCTTCTGTCAATTGCCACAACAGATGTGACAAAAATCAATGAAAGTATTCTGTGAGAGTACCTCTCAAATGGAATTTACAATTATGTATTTTGCTAGGATTTGTCCTACACGTCCTTTAATCAGAAACATGTATAACTTAAATGCATTTGTTTCCAGAGAGCTGGTTGTTTACTCAGCTCCTAGACAAGTGGCCTTAATTACTTAACCCCCAAGCCTCAATTTAGTTAGGTGTAAAGCAGAGAAATAAAAATATCTTCCTAATGAAGTTTTGAGAATTTAATGCATTATTGTTAGAATAGAATCCATTAATGTTCTCAACATATCGTTTCCAAGTCAGAGACTCAACAGATGTCAGTCCCAACTCATTACCTGGAGCACAGAAGCAGGTCCAAGTCACCCCTGGGCACACCCATCCTTGTCTTCCCAGGGCTGGCCCCGGACCCGTTTATTCAGATTGAAGTTTCCTTAATTAATAGGCTGGTGAACACTCACCACTAGGTGGCATAAGCATGATGCCTTTGATGGGTTTGGTCCTACAGGCAATAGAATTGATTGGCAACACTGACATTTTACCCTAACAGGCTAGAGAGAAGATAAATGTTTACAGTCACGGTGCTCTGTACAGACAATGAGTCTGGTGACCAGTGCTGACACCCTGAGCAAAAATGTTAACCTGTAAGTGAAGATGAGTTAAACTCCATCTTTGGCAAACAGTGTCTTCTCACCACTGCAGGCTGCTCCACTTTCTATACTCACGGCAGACCCAGGTATGTCTAGCCTAATGCGAAGTCAGACCCTCCCCTTCCGCGCGCCCCCTCTCCGCCCCCCCTGTATCCCCAGTCTTCCTGCCAGACCTTCCATAACATTCTTCTGAAAACTGATGCTTTAAGGTGACTGCCCTGGCAGCAACCTCAGAAGAACTCCAAAGGGCTGGGATCTCCCAGTATTCCCCCAGTCACCTCGGTCTGACCCTGGGTATTTTTGCTTTGATGTGTTTTTTTAATTGATTTTTTAGTGCGTGTGTCTGTGTGTTTGGTTAATCCTCACCTGAGGATATTTTTCCATTGATTTTAAAGAGAGTGGAAGGGAAGGGGGAGAGACAGAGAGAGAGAGAAGCATCAATGTGAGAGACATGGATCAAGCCCGCAACTGAGGTACGTGCTCCTGACCGGAATCGAAACCTGGATCCTTTGGCCCATGGGCTGATGCTCTATCCACTGAGCTAAATCAGCCAGGGTGACAGGGGTATTTTTACTTTTAGAGAGAGAGAGGCAGGGAGAGGGAGAGAGAAACATGGATATGAGAGTGACATCAAGCAGTTGCCTCCAGCAAGCACCCCCAACCAGGGATCAAACCCAAAACCTGGGTAATACCCTGACTGGGAATCAAACTAGCAACCTTTTGGTGTAAGATGCATGGGACAACGCGCAACCAACTGGACCACACTGGCCAGGGCACCCTAGGAATTCTTGGGGGAGGCCACTTACCTTTTCTCTGGAGGAGAGCTGACAAAGGGCTTCTCCCTGGAGTCTCAGTGGGAGTCTGCAAGGACTCACCTGCCACCTATCGGTGAGAATGTTCACTCCCAAAGTTCTGCTCACTTGTTAAACCACAGACTTCCACTTAGCTGCCTTCACTGTGGGGAACCTCTCAACAGGTTTCCCTCTTAAAAGCAAAATACTAAACTTTACTCTTTAGAATTAAAATAATGAAAATCAGCCTGATTAGTTTTCTGCCTGCCTGGAATTCACCAATAAAGATTTTGTAAGGAAGCTGTTCCTAAAAACACAGCTTAATTTACTTCCGCCAATCTGTTCTTTGTTCCAGTGTTTCCATTAATGATTCCGAGGAACAGTCTTACACATCTGGGATGGTTCTGGTCATTTTAATAAGGTCTTTTGGAAGCTGTTACAAAGTGAAGTGAATCAATATTGAACATAAAACCTCAGTTTCTTGGAAAGTGCAGATCTCTCTCCCTATATGAAACACCACACAATGTTACTTTGTATTCTTGGATGAAACTAAACGCAAAGGTGGATTTTAAGGACTTTAACTACAGTCTAAATTCATGGTGGTCTTTAAATATAAGTCCAACCAACTGGCATATAGACTGCCAAGAAATGAACAGCAATTTCTTCATAACAACTTGGAGACAAATAATGGCTCAGAATGAATGAAAATGACTATAAGAGAGGTTTTTTTTTTTCCCTTGAAAGTTTATTTTGAATTTTCATTTTTGGATAACCAAGCAGCTCTTTAAGGAGAATGCACAGAAGAGTCATTCTGGCACTTTTGGATAGCACATAAGATTTTTTTTTTTAATAGTCACATTCAGTTCACTTGCTCAGTCCACACTGATGTTGGGAGAGCAAGATCAGCCCAAAGAATTCCAGCGCTAATACGTAACCATATATACAAACAGCCAATAAAACCATAATGGTGGCTAGTGGCCAAAGGGATGGAGTGGCGGGTGGGGGTGGGGGTGGGGAGTCTTTAGGGTGTCCTCTAGTTTATCTTAGCTAAACAGAATCCACATCACACAGGAGAACTGGAGAGTACACTGCGCGGAAATCGGAATTCTGTGCACAAGTGGGCACTTGGCAGCATGCAGTTCAAAGAAAAGGGGCATCGTTTAATAACTTTATAAAATCCAGGCAGTTCCATTACAGGAGTTAAGAAAAACAAAGAGGGTAAGTGAGGGACTGTCTGTTGTTACTGTAAAAAAGGCACTTGGAGTTAACGGGCCCAGAACTGAAGGATTCTCAGCTGATAAAAAATTTCAGTGCGGTTTCATTAGAAGGCTTGGATGCTAAGGGATGACAGGAGTTCCTGAATGGAGACATGGAAATAAACCACCAAGAACCAGAACAGATCAAAATGAAGAAATAAAATCTTGACAACCAAACTGGGCTTATAAAAAAAAGCAAACCCGAAACAAAACCTACGCAAAGCATAAACCTAGGCAAAGTAAGAGCATGAAGCAGCAATGCATAGCTTTCCTCCGAGGTCATGAATTCCTCGAGACACTAAGTGCCAAGCTAATTTCTCAATCATAACTTCACAGGAGCATTATCGTGATAAAACTGACTCAGGCGATGCAAAAAAGAGCTTCATCTGTTCCCGGAATCTGAGGGAGAACTGAGGTTATCGTCAGAACCAGCAACATCACTGTGGTCTCTCAGCGTCCTCGGGGGACACGGCAAGCATGTGGAAGGACACTCAGAAGCGACGTTCGGCCACCTCCCTGGCGGTTAGGCATCCCTTGCCGCCCTCCTTTCTTCTGAGCCATCACTGTAATTCCTTTTGAACATTTACACAACCGGAAATGGAAATGTCCACAGGCCATGGTTGCCGTCGTTCAACTTCCTCCACAAACGTGTAAGCGCTTCCATCAGTAAGAATTTTTGGCAATTCTGTTAGGTTGGGTGACTCTGCAGTCGCTCATTTAATGTTAAATGCCATCAGGGGTCTCTCTTCCCGCTTCTGCCAAGGGCTCTTCTTGTCCTCTCCTTGGTCATCCTCGTCGTCTTCTTCGTCGTCCTCGTGAGCAGACCCTCTCTGATCAGGGCTGGCCAGGGGCTCGGGGGGGACGTCCGCAGTCCGTTTGGTCGTCTCCTCCTGCAGGCTGGGCAGCTGGCCGCCGCTTCTCCGGCTGGAGCCGTCCAGCAAGCACCGCAGGGCACTGTCGTCGGGGGTGCAGACGGTGGTGCCACACTCGCTGCCGCTTTGGTCCATGTCATCCAGGTACACGAGCTGCGTGTAGGCGGTGCTGTCCGCCGGCCTCGGCTCCTTCTGAGGGTGCTCCTGGGCAGGGGGGTGGTTCTGCGGCAGAGACAAAGGGTCTCCTCTTCCCTTCCGGGCAGATTTTGGCTCATTCATATCCACGCCCGAGTCCAGACTGGCATCGTTACTGCCGTTCCTCCCCGCTCTTTGGAGATCGATGTAAGAGTGTCTAACGTGTGCGTTGGACCTGCCATCCAGGGAGACGAACCAGGCCCGGGGGTGCGGGAGCGGCTTCCCGCCGCCAAGTTCCATCAGAGCCTTTTCGGTCAGGAGCTGGACCTCGCTGTTCATCTGGGCCAAGGCCGCGTCGTTCAGGGATGCTGGGATGGACAGAGACTCCGACATGGACGCGTTCTGCGGGCTCCACTCCCGGCTGCCCGCGTCCTGCAAGTGCTGCTGGGAGATGGCCTGGCACGACAAGGGCTGGGCCTGGATCTGAGAGGAGGGGTGCGGGAAGATCCCCGCATGGGGGCTGGAGAGCTCAGCCTGCAGTCTTTCGATCTCAAGCTGCTGGTCCGCTGGAACGACCAGCGGCTGGCCCACGTAGGAGTGGTCCCCGGGCAGTTTCATATAGTGAGCGGGGATGACCAAGGCAGGCAGCACTTTCCTGTAAACGCTGTCATTGACCTGGTCCACGGAGCTGCAGCAGATCAACTGGCCGGGCCGCGAGAAAGACGTGGGTCTTTCCAGGTGGTCTACGGATCGTGACATCATACATTCAGTCGGTCTGCGGTCAAGCAGCTGCTCTTTTTCGGGAGAGGAAGGCGCGGGGTACATGTGTTCCTGAATGGTGAGCTTACTTCCCGTGGAAATATGGTTGATGGAGGCCTGACTGTCTCGGTCTTGCTTCTCAAATAAAGGCGGTGACAGCATGGCATTGTAACTCCTCCTGTAGTCACTGCGGCCAGGGGACTCGTAGCCTTCTCTCTCCACAGACTTCCTGGACTTTAAGGGGAAAATCTCCACGGATTTATGGTAGTCCTTTCCCAACGTCCCGCTCGGTGTTAGGTTATCAAAGGAGATTTGGCTTTTATCCTCTTCCTTATGAGACAGGAGTTCCTCCCGAGAGCTGAATTCTTGGGAGGTGCTGTAGGACAGCTTCAGCATGGGGGTGTGCAGGTCCACGTCTCCGCTGGAAGACATCATTTCTAAACGGACCCCACTCATCAGCTCCTTGGTGCCCGGGGCATCCGGGCGGCTGTGGCTGGTGACAGAGAGTGGGCCTGGGAATTCCGACTCCCGACGGGCGAACAGCAGGTTGATGTGAGACATAGAGGTGGACTGATCTCTTTTGGAATTCTCCAGGGCCGCGGGGAGCTGCAGTTTCCTATGGTGCTGACGAGGTTTCAAGCACTTCCGCCTGTGATCAAGAGACAACAATCCGAACCCAAAGATTAAAGATTCTTGTCATGGCTGCGTTTCAAGTAAAATCCTAACTCACAATTTCCACAGAAAGACACAAGCCAGAAGCCTGCTCACCCCACACACACCCTCAGACTTATTTTGAGCAGCATAGTCCACGCATTTCACCCGCAGGCTTTCGTTAGTACATCTGAGTCATTCATTCAAAAGCCGTTACCCCAAGAATCGATAGTCAGCATTCTCGCAAACAGAACAGATGAGGCATCGCAATAAAAATAGTTCTGCTTTGTCCTTGAGAATATCACCCTTTAATCAGCGTTTAGGTATATTCTAAACCAATCATAGGACAACTGTCAAACTGTTTTCTGTAACTGCCCTTTTAAGCAATGTTATATACTACACGAAGTGTGCCTCGTATGTCCTTCATTCGTTTGCAAGTCAGATGACAAATATTCAATGTGTAGGTATTTTTCCTACCTATAAAAAAAGAGACCTCGATTCAGAAGAAGAAAAAAGACCTCCATATCAATGCTTGCACAAGCCATTCCAAATGAAAAAAAGATATTGCCCAAATGGTAAAACATTACCTGCAATAATATAAAAGGAGACACAGCAAAACCAAAAGTATGAAAGCCATTCCTCCTAAAATGGCCAAAAGAAACACCGTGTGATACGTGGTAATGTCCTGTGTGACAACGGGACCTAGAAGGTCAGAAAAGGACACTTTAGATTTGTGGAAACTTTTAAATACACAGAGGAATAAAGATCACAAATGTCATGTGTTTTTTGATTTTGTTAATCCTCACCCAAGGATATTTTTCCAATGATTTTTAGAGAGAGTGGAAGGAAGGGGGAGAAACAGAAAGAGAGAAACATCGATGTGAGAGAGACACATCGATTGGTTGCCTTCTGCATACACCCCAAATGGGGTCGGGGGTCGAGTCTACATCCAGGTACATGCCCTTGACTGGAATCGAACCTGGGACCCTTCAATCGGAGGGCTGATGCTCTATCCACTGAGCAAAACCGGCTAGAGCAAAGGTCATGTTTTTGTTACTCTTACTGGCAGGGCAGATGCAAACATCCTTCAGCTGGTACCATGATGTTATCAATGAGGAGGGATGACCAGCCAGCCCCATTCATTGCTGAAGCAGCTGTGGCCAGTGGCTCTGAATATGCAAATACTACATGCAGTGCGTCAGGGTCCCTCCTTAGCTGAGAGCCACATGCATTCAGCATTCTAAGCACATGATTTTTAATAAAAGCAAATGGATGCATGATAATACAATGAGCGGGACTCTTACGCTCAGAGAGATGTCCTGAATATCAGGAGAATTTATACCGCAGGAGGAAAAAAAATCACAAGATTTTATTCTCACTTTCACTGGGCAGTCATTGTGACTGTGTGAAGAGCCCTTTGCCTAAATAAATTAGTTGAGATGCATGAAGGAAATGTACTATGACTTAAAAAACATTCATATAGGGGGTGGGGAGGGCAATGGGCGGATAAGGACACATATGTAATACTTTAATCAATAAAGAAAGAAAAAACTCCCATCCATATAGGGTGTCAAGTGTTTCTAAAATGCCTTCAATTCTTTAAAAATTAAATGTTCCTCTACAATAACTTTTCAAAATGATTTAACCTGACGTGGCCACAGTCCTCTCCAGAACTCATAGACCAGGTCATCAGAGGTAAACAGACTTTCGTTTACATTGTAAAGAATCTCAGGAAGTACTTTAACTTAGACTCTTCATGCTCAGCATCTATAAGAATGTATCTCAACGTCACTGACAACAGGTGGTCAGCAACAACAAAAACCTCCCCAAATTACAATCTTTATCCAGGTATCCTGGCAGTGCACCAAAGGTGGGAAGGAATAAATGTGGTTTTTATATTGTTTCACCCATTTACTGATTGACTTTTTATATTCTAAGAGGTAGATTTATTAAAAAACCTTTTGAAGGAGACAAATCTCTTAAGAGCTTGATAAGCCCAAGGGGTTTTAGTAGCTTTTGAAAATAGTGACATTACTTACATTCAAAAGACAACATTATTCACTTCCATGGGGGTGGAGTTAATATTTACAAAACTTGGAAAAATATCTGACAACCATATCCTGCCTTAATCATTCAGAGAAACAATTTTGTTTTACACAAAGCCTCCTCGGGGACTGCGGGCACAGGCAGCGCCTTGGCAGGCGTCACCAACATGTTGGGTGTACATAAAAGTCATTTCTAAGTAACCGAAGTTCAATTCCTTTAAGTACTTAAAATGTTATTATTTTAACTTCTGCCAATGTAAACTTTTATAAAATTCACAAGCATACTTCATTTCCTTCTTAACCAGCGAACTAAAGAGGAAAACCCTAATTATTTTCTTGTTGGTTTTGGGCTCAGGAAGACACAGCATCACAGTAATTTGTTTTAATAACAGCAATGGCTGTGAGGTTACCAACACATGTTTCTACATTAAATGCCACCAGGGACTGTGCTATGTATGCTCTTCATAGCTGTTTTTCCTCTTCCTTTACTGCTGGGAAGCTTCAGAGGACCTACACCCAGCAGTTCTTGCTCCCTCTTTATAGAAGTATCTATTAATCTGTTCATGATGGGAAAACTGATAGCCAAGGTTGTTTGAAACAGGTCTAAAATGAAAGTCAACTTTAACGCCTGGGATTTGTGGCTTCTGCATTGGTACGTAAGGAATTTCTTTCCTTACTCTCTTCATCATCTCCTAGATATTTCAGATTTGGAGACTGGTTCATGCTTATATTGCTACAAGAGCAGTATCATAAAGGGAAACACGTACTCTGCAAACACAGATGTGAAGCGTGCACATATTCTGAGGATGGAAATATAAAGCAAACGGTGACAGACTTTTCAATACCCATCTTGGAATGGCCCCAATAAATTAGTTACTTTGGGAGTCTCAGTGTTCCTTCCAGTGATAATTACACTGCCAAAACGCTGGACTCCCATTTTGGAACTGCCTTCATAGCTAATTTACAAGAGACACTCTGCAATCATAGCGCCTTCTGACCTAGGCTGTCACCTACTGTACTCACCAGATGGGGACACGCACGGCTTTCAGCTGTACCTCTGAGCACCAAGATCTGCCGCTAGGAAGCGTCTCACTAATAGAGGCAGTCCATGCAACACATTCAAAAGGCGCTTTGTGCATCATTGGAAATAATTCTCCTAAGGTGACTATTTTGAAAAACAAGTCTGGAATACTCACTGGGATAAATTGGGGCACATAGGTTAAAAAAATAAACTTTTCGTCACACTTTAAAAAAATGTAAGTTCATTCACATTTCCTAAATAGAAATGAATATTCTTCTGGGTACAAAGCCACTGGGTGGCTTTGAAAACCTTTTGGAAATGCCATATTGAACTTTCCTCCCCAAGACGTCACCCGTGATAACTTCCTACATGTTCTCTCACACCGGCCACAGCTGTTTCAGGAATTAGGGAGGAGGTCTGAGCTGCCGCTGCGGGCTTTAGATTAAGAATTTCCTATGGCAGCTGTCTAAGAGAAATAGAGAGATGAGACAAGATGATTTTCCATGCATGATTCTTATCCTAGATGGGAGCGTTCCAACCAGAACTCCCCATCCCATGAAGTACCTTCATTTCATCATTTGATTTTTCAGACTCTCAACCATTTTAAAGATGTGATGTCCCTGTTAAAGTTATTTTCAAAAGTGTACTCAACCTGACCCCTCAGGGCATCATTCCCCATGCCTGCGGTGCTGCCTTCGAGTTACCTGGGTTGGGGGGAGACATGGCTGCCACCCAGTACCCCAGCTGAGGGGCAATGTACGTCCACGTCAGCTGGCTGCCTTCCTGGTGCACGAGGCCGAGGCCACTCTTCAGCCACGTTCCTGTGGGTGCAGAAAACAACTTCAGCTCTAGGCACGCTAGACTCCTATTCAAGGCTCCGCCATACGGTACAAGTCACCTTACATGTCATGTTTATAACCATTAGGGAGCCAAAAGGGCAGCTAGGGGCTGCACACAGCGTTCCTGGAGATGCTTTTCAACTCGCTTCACTTTAGTGTTTCTTTGCCTTCCTTATTAAATTCCCTCCAGCCACTTCACCAAACAGCCCTGCTTCCAAACACAGGTGATTTTAGCAGAAGCCGTTGGAGTTTAGAAGGAGAATGAAAGCAGCGCGACGGGGTTGGCAGGAGTGGGAAGCGGGGGAAATCTAGCGCGGCTACACTCTATCCTCAAACAAGTGAGTGAATTTCCTACCTGGAGTCACAGGCTGGCTCCATCAGAATTATCCTGGGAAGTTTTTTGTTTTGCTTTTTAATATATAGATTTCTTGGTCCCATCTTTGCAAATACTGCCCCAGAAAGCCCGACGTGGGTATTTCTAAAAACTTCCAGTTGGTTCTGATGCCGGGAAACACGGAGTAAGTCCAGGTCTGTGTCCTGTCTTTCAGCTGTTACTCTGACCAGTATTTAACATTAACGAGCTCCTACTATGTACTGGCTGGTCATAGCAGATGTGCTCTATATACGGTCATCCCTCAGTATATGCAGGGGATTGGTTCTAGGACCCCCACAGGTACCAAAATCCGAGGATGCACAAGTCTCTTATGTAAAATGTCATAGAACAATGCATATGGTTGGCCCTCCGCATCTGCAGACTCCCAACCGTGAAATGAAAACACGTATACTGTTTTCGATCTGTGGCTAGTTGAATCCACAAACACAAAACCCATGGAGACGAAGGGCTGACAGTACATTATCTATAATTCTCACAACAACCCTACAAAGTTGGACTTATTTTCCTTTTTGAATGAGGACCCTGAAGACAGGTGAGCTACGTAAGGCTTCGAGGACTCCCAGGGTGGGGAGCAGAGCAGGGGCACCTAGGTCGGTCTGTCCATCCAAGGCCAGTGCTCTTTCTCCCGCTCTCCCGTGCTGCCATCTCCTGTAAACCTTCCCAGAATTTGATGACTTTTTCAGTTTGTAGGTTTTCTAGCAGCAGGCTCAGTGCCCAAGGTCATCTGGCTGTCACCTGTCTCACCTGCAGAGAGCCTTACTTTGAGGACCATGATGGAAGCTGGCAGCAGGGGCAAGGGAGTGTGCCGGCCAGGCCCCCACGGCACGCAATCACTCACCCCACCCATTAGCAAAGACGACGCAGGGCTCCTGCTTTGCTTCAGTGCCCAGTGCTCCTGCCCAGCTCAGCTCACTCCTGCCATCAGCCGCCACCTCAAATGGCCACGTGCATAGCCCTGTCCACTCCAGAACTAAACGCACCAGCTGTGCACCAAATATTCTACCCTCGGGGCTCCAAATCCTTGCCTTGTCTGTGTACACATATCACTGAGGTGGCAATCGGGGATGTTTTCTTCCCCTTGAAGAAAGAAACAATAGTTGGGGCTGCTTCTAGGGCTTATCAGTTGCCATAGCAACATTCAAATGCAGCAGGCAGAAAGGTGCCTTGGTAATGCCTCCCAGCTAGCACACCTCCTCTGCTGACTGCAGATGAACAAAGAAGGTTGGAGAGGCCAGGCATCAAGTGTCAGCAAGCCCCTACAGCCTGCACCGTCTGACCCGCCCATGCAACAGGCTGAATCATGGCTCCAGACAGTTTCAAGTTATAGAAAATACAAGCTAGAAGGTTTCTAAAATGAGTATGAGGACGAGGATGCCTAATTCCAATGCTTTCGCTAAACAACATCAACCAAGAGATGATTACGCCACACACAGCATCACTTACTTCTCAGGGCTACTACGGAAACAGAGAGAACATTTGACACAGGAAGCAAAAGGGTTTCTATGTTTGGTACAAACGTTTCCCCGAAGGTAGGTAAGAGACTGCTTGCAACTGTTTCCAGTGTTCTTCCTGCCCTCCAGGGCCCCATACTGTTTAGCTCATGACACATACCACACCCCTCTCCCACACGCTCTCCCACAATAGCAAGCCTGCCAGGATCTCCGCATCAGCCAGGAAGTGGCTGCACATTCTTTGGTTTACAGTTTTCCTCAGATTAGAGTCTTGAGTCACTGCTTTTCGAATGGAGCGGATGCTGGGATAGGCTAAAGGGCCCAGAGGGAAAAAGCTGGAAGATCAGAGTCCTAACTCCTGTTTGCTCAAGGGCAAACCACCTAACTGGAACGCTACATTCTCTCTGCCTTCTAAACACAATGCAGAAAGTGGAAACACTTAAAAACACCTCCCAGTTACACTGGGGGCAAGCCAAGCGGGTGGACGCCCACACTCTACCCAGCTAACAGGCCCCCACATGCAGCCTGGAGGGCCTCTGTCCAGTGGGGGTGGTGGTGATGCTGGTGGGAGCCAGAAAGGTCAGTGACTGAGGACACACAGCTGCTTTGGGAGCAGGGAGGGAAGCTGCCACCTGGTGTGGGCAGGGAAGGCTGCTAGGTGAAGTTTGCTGAAGGTGCAGGACTGTCAGTTGGGGGATGAGGAGGGTGTGGAGCAGAGAGAAAGAGGAGGGGGTCGCATGCAATAGGGATTGCAAGATGGAGGCGCAGGGTGGGTGGGAGGGAGGAGGCTGTCGGATGGGGGCTGGAAAGAAGGTTAGTGCCTGCCTGCCAGTGGCTGGGCAGGGCTTCCAATGCCATCAGCAACAGGAGGCCACTGGGACCTGTAAGTGGAGGCCCAGCTGGTCACAGCTTTTCTCCTCATCCCCCTCCCTTCCCCTAAATCCCCTTAGTTCTTCCAGGTCCCTCATCATGCCAAGTCTGCGACTTGGCAAACAACCGTTGCTTCAACCTCACAGTCTCTCCCCCCAAAATCTGCCTATCTTTCAAGACTCAAGTCATGCCATGAGTTTTCCCGAGTTCCTCCAGCACTCAAGAACTCCGGCATCAGGGCACTCCCAGGGCACGTGTCCCAGCACCACTGATTTTCCAGAAACATGTCACCTTGCTGTCCACTCTGCAAGAGTGGGCGGGCCTTCTCCTCAGCACACAGACATGCCCCTGGTGTAGGAGCTTAACAGTGAGTGAAAGCCAGCCCTGCAAGCTCAAAGTAACACCAGGCGACCTTCTGAGAAAAGCTGGGGGTGGCCAGCAGGAAAGATCTCCTGATGAAATTGAGGTTCAGATGGAGACTCCGCCCTTTCCAACGAAAGGGAAGAGTCAGCTGAGAAGGCATTGCTCTGGGCCCACGTTTTCTGTAAAATGTACCCATATCCAGGAAATAGAGGGTAACGTTGTCTTGGGATTCAACGATTATGCTTTACTGGCAAAAGCCATTTCCAAGCGTTTTGTTTGTAGGAAGAGATAAGCTACAGGGAAATGAGTGAATGAATTGTATACCCAAAACATGCTTTTGCTGACACTGCAGGAAGAGGGCGCTCTCCCCGCATCAGAGGAGCTCCCTGTAAGCAGGCTGGGGACTCCTGCCGGAACCTTCCCTGCTGCTGCGGACAGCAGGGCACAGGCCTTTGCATAGCCTGTTTGGTTTGATGACGTTATGTGACTGCTGGACCTTTGGCCAGGGTGCTAAGTGGGGACCCTCTCATCCCCGTGGGGGCCCCAGGCACAGTTCAGAGTAGGAGAGGGACCAAGGAAAGCTCCAGCTGCGAGACCTCTGCTCTGTTTCCCCGCCCCGAAGGGCTGGATGGGGCAGCCACGGATGCTCCTTGGTCAGGACAACTGCCCAAGGGCTGTCCTGAGCGAGTGTCTCCTCTGCGGTCCCGACACAGCAGCCCAGCAGCTGCTTCCTCTGTTCACTTTGCTCCTGTGCTTCTCCTTCTCCCTGTCTGAGCTAGTCCCTCACAGCTCCTTCCCACCACTGCCTTCTGGGGGCTCGCTACCGGCTCACTCAGGGTCCCCTTCCTGGGCAAAAGCTGAGTGTCCAGGCAGGTCACCTGGTGAAGATGTGCAGGCGGGACCCTGTGCCTTCTCATGCTCTGACCCACAGGCCTGGCCTGGCTGCCACCTTCTTCATGCACAGCTGCTTCTGCAGAGCGGGGGTGGCCGACTGTTACGTGGGTTGGGAGCAGGCTGGTGGCCACAACAAGTGCCTCTCTGCTCTGTGCAAGGCTGTTGGCATGTCTGTTACTGGGACTGCATGTGTGAAGGTTATAGAGCAATCCCTTGGCATCATCAAGGAATGAAACTCTGCAATACTGAAAGTTCTAGAATGGTGGCATTCAAATAGCTTAAAAAGCATCTGAACTTTCTAATGCTGCTGCTTTTTAGTGTGTCCTTAAGCAGAATTCCACCACCACCCCCAATTATATTTTTATTGATTTCAGAGAGGAAGGAAGAGGGAGAGAGACGGAAACATCAATGAGGAGAATCATTGATTGGCTGCCTCCTGCACGCCCCCTATTGGGGATTGAGCCTGCAACCCAGGCATGTGCCCTTGACCGGCATGGAACTGGGGACCTTTCAGTGTGCAGACCGACACTCTATCCACTGAACCAAACTGGCTAGGGCTCCAGAAATTTATATAAAACAGACCAAAGATAAGCTTCTCTGCATGAAGGTGAAGACATCTCCTGAGCATGGTTTGAGAGTTATTCTTTTGTACAGTTTGGGTCTTATTTGCCAAAATTTGAAAAAGCAGTTTTATATAATTCTAGAAAGCATCATTCACTCCTCCTGCCTTATAGGATAGAATATAATTTTGATTTTTCATGATAACTCAGGGTCATGATTATGATGAACTACAATGCTAGGCCCTAAAATATTGCTGTCCTTAGGTCCCTACTGAGGAACATAGACTTGTTTGCTCCTACACCTAATACCCCCGTCCACTCCCATGTTTGTTTCCCTTCTCTCCCTCCCACTCTCCTTCCCTCCCTCCCTCCCTTCCTACTTCCCTCCCTCTCTCCTTTTTCCCTTTCTTCTTCCCTCCCCGCTCTGTGCTGTCATGAGTGTGTCTATTA